TCGAAGATTCATAAACTACCCGAAAATAAGCAACACTATAACAAAAATATGTTGCTTATTTTCGGAAGAATACGGTACCTTGTGTAAGAACATTTTGTATAGTCTTAATTATTCTAATTTACCGAATTTACGTATTTCATAATTGAGAGGCTTCATGGCAAAGGAATCCTCATTAGAATAAAGCACATTTGGATTACAAAATCATTTTCATAAAAGTCTCACTTCTTCTTTGATCTGGTATTTCTTGCAATCTTGCAATTATGTGACCTACATGCCCTTTGAAACAATCCCCTGAAAGAACTTCCATGCCCTAGCCATCTTAGAAGTTGATGCAGTCAGAATCATCATTGTAAGAAATTTCTGTCTCTCTCCACCCTAAATTTTCTAGAGTCCGTTTAAGAAGTGTAACAAACCCGTGCAGTGCGATAGTAGATAATCTCTTCTCTTGATCTGTCAGAGGTATGTAAAATAATCTTTTCAGCACTAGATCATGGAACGTCCTTTGTGAGCATGCTTTGATATACTTATATGGTCAATAGATTCTGGTTATTGAAGTGAAAGGAAAGTTCATCATATTGAGTGAATTTGTCATAATAACCTTCCAATATCCGTTTCTTTATCAATTTTTGGTAAATATTAATATTTTAAAACAAAACAAAAAATTGTGTGAACAAGTGGTATTACATACCTTGTGTAGAGATAGCTGGGGCCTCAAGTGGACTCCACCTGGAAATCTATATTTTTCCATTTTACGTTTCATTGAATTCAATCAGGATGAGCAATTGCTCTTGTACTTTTACCAAGATTATTTAGGTGAGAAAGAGGTGAACAAAAAGATTGCATATTTAATTAAAAATGAGATAATAAATACAAAAGAAAAAAATGCAAATGGTATTTACCATTATTTTCATCAACGTCTATCTCTATGATGTCAAATGAGAAGCAGCAGCAAAAATAATGAAACAGAAACAAAGAAGTACAGATTAGTTAAAGTATACCAAATAAATAAATAAATGGAATGGAATAAAAAGAAAATAATTTTTTGTATATTTTTTTACACAAATTTGTTCATTGCCTTTCCCCTTGAGTCACTTAACTTTTTACTCCATTCTTTCTCCAACTCCTCCGTTGTCTTTTTCAACTCCTCTATCCTATCTTCCCACCTTTTCTCCTGTTTTTCGTTCCTCATTTCCACTTCTCTTTATACTTCCTTTTCTTCCACTCTTCCAACTTCTTCTGTGCCTATTAATACTCTCCTTCTGCATCATTTAAGACTTTTTCTTAATTTTTTCATATGTTGTTATCTTATAACCGTAAAACTATAGATTATTAGATTCATTTCTTGATCACTCGGATTTTTGATCGCAAAATCCAATCCTAAAACGTGATCAAATTTGAATTTTTGATCGGCTTATTTGATCATCCAATTAAATTTTTTTTTTAACAGCGTTTTTTATTAAATCAAGCCAGAAGAATTTTTTGCTGTTGTTGAAGGAAATTTTGCCGTTGCTATTGAAAAAAATTTTTTTTAATAAAGTTTTAAAGTTTAAAACGTGGAGTTGAACGCATGGTATTATTAGTTATTTTCTCTCGAGTTGAAGTATATAAACCAGATTCTAACTTTTTTTTTTAAATAAAAAAAACGCGTTTTTTAATACAAATCTGGTCACACAAACTCATCATCGGTAGCCCGTTACCGGTTTAATCATTGCAGGTGACACAATTCAAAAATCTTTTATACATGGTAATCTAAACGTAATCAAGAATTTTTTTCTATAAATCGCGAGATTTCAAATTACTGCAGTAAATTTTTGAATATTTTTATTATCGAGATATCGAGACGATTAAAAGAATTTACAAAGTAAATTTATAAAAAGATAGTGAAAAGAAATTTAAATTTCTACCGACAATTGAAAAAATAAAATAAAATAAAATAAATAAAATTAGGTCGATAGTACAAAAAAAATATATGAATTTCTTACACTATGTAAAATTTAAAAATAAATCATCTATAATTATCTTTTTTTTTTTTTTTTTTTTTTTTTCACCTTCATTTCAAAAAAAAGAATTTGGTTGAAAATAAAAATGAATATTATTAATATCCTCCTATCGGAATCTAATAAAATTTTGCAAAATAAAAATTGAATCGTGAAACAAGTGATCCTGATAAGAAAGATACAGATTGTAAAATAAAAAATTCAAACCAAATCTATATATAGTTCTCCTTTTACTATAGACATCCAGACTACCAAAGATTTTTTTTTTTTTTTTTGTTCCGTCATTCTTAAGAATGTAAATAAAGATGACGGGTATTGAAAATATAATATTGGGGAATTTAAAATTTAAAAATATTTCCCCTATATAATTAGGAAGCATTTTTTTTTTTTTCTTTTAAATTTTGTTTGTTTTTTTTTTTTTTGATTTTTAAATAATTTTTTTTTTCTTTTTTTTTTTTTTTTTTTGAAATTGATGAAATAAATAATCACATGAACGCCATTCCAATAATAATTGTGAAAGGTTCCTAACAACAAAATAAATGAAGACAAAAAACATCCCTCCATAAAAAAATAGAAAATAAAAAAAAGGGAACAGCTTCGTATGAGTAAAGGTAAAAGTTTGAGGGATGACATTGTCAAAAAAAAAAAAAATAAATAGAAAGGAGACCAATCACGTTAAAAAAAAAAAAGAAATGGGTCATGTAAATGATGAAAAAGATGTGATGAACCAGCGAGAAATACTAATCAAAGGAAGCACCTCGCGAATGATAAGTACAGACTTCTTTAAAATGTTCATCAGAAAATAAAGAAGTCGCAGTTCGACATAAATTATTGAGTTAATGTCGAATTGAGAATAATAAATCTTGTGGGTCTTCATATACATGACTCATTATTAGAGATTAATTATTTCGAAGTCTATAAAGTTTAATATTAATTGTTGCCAAGATCCATGTTAATTTAATTAATTACATTATACACTAAAAATGGAAAAGGAATGTTAATCTTTGTTTGAAAATTGTGAAAAGATGAGTCAAACACTTACACTCAATCGTCTTACTTTTGCCGTCCTTACCAATAAATAAATTGATAAGAACGATTCTGACTAAATTAACTTGAAGATTAGCATATCATTATTAAGTTGTAAATTATTAAAATAAAATTTGTTCGAGGATTGTTGGATTTTTTTAAAAACTTTTGAAAGCAAAATTTGTCGCAATTTGTTTAAGGTGCTCAAATTGCGGTATCGAACTTAATTTGAAGTTTTGTCAAAGCGCAATTTTGAAGGTCATAAAGCGGGGCGCAGGGCTATTCTAAAATCCTTCATCCTCGGTTGAACCGACACGGAAAATATTTTATATTAATATACAATTTGGTGTCTTCGTGAGAATTTACCAACGTGTCGATAGCATTATATTACATTAGTCTATAAAGTATCTAAAAAAAATAAAAAAAATAAAAAAAAAAAGAGAAATATTAGAATGAGTTTATCCAAGAAAAAAGGCATTAATTTACTTACAATAAAAATAAAAAGCCTTCATAGGGATTTCATTGTACGATTAAAGCATGAAATTAATGGTATAGGAGGGTCGCCGGTTAAAGATAACGGAATATTTCGCTCGTTAAGGACGCAATATTAGGAAGCCATGCCAAGGAATATTTACTTTCCAATATTGATCATGAAAGGGAATGATGCACATTTACAAAAAAACATGTATCGAGAATTAGGCCATTTATTTCTCGAAAAAAACATGGTATTTATAAATAGAACAGGGAAGGTATGGCTTAGAATTTCATGGTAATAACAGATGTTAATTTTTTGGCTAGGTTAAAAAAAAAAAAATTTCATAAAGTTGATTGAAACCTGTTAGGCGATTGCAAATCTGTGGCTTAGGCAAGAGAGCTCGAGAAATTTTGGTAATTCCGAAATTCGGGATGATGCGGGGATGAGGGATTAATGGTAAATCGCAGCAAAAGGAATGGCTTAGATTAAAAAAATAATCGGGAAGGCTTAATACTTTTGAATTCCGGAAATGTGGCGAAGCTTTTTTTTAAAACAAGATATTCAAGTCACATTAATCGTTAAGTGACCAAGAAAAAAAAAAAAAATAAAATAAAAAAATAGGGTTGGAAAAAAAAAAAAATTACTTTTGTCAATTTGACAAAAAATTCCAAGGCCATTTAATCATAATTATGATTAGAATGACGAAAAGGTTAGATTTCTAGCTAGAAATCTAAAATGCGACGAAACTGTGCTAGATATTGCAGATTTTTCATGGGGCCCTTCTGAGAATGGCTTGGACCATTGAAATCTGTAACTCTTGTACAGCGCGGGCCCAATGTATTATGACAATTCGAGATAACCTTCTCGAAGAATGGTAGAAAGTATATCTCGTAAAAGATATCTAGTAACACAAAAAAAAGTAAGTGAGAACCATATATATATAGAGGGGAAAAAAACATCTTTAAAAAATAATATATTTACCACGGCCTCAAGAAACCGTATTGAATTTCGAACTTTTAACGTATTTAACATCGTGTTGGGATATGAAAGAATGAGTTTTGATGTTTTTTGGTGGGAAAAAAAACTGCGATGCGGAGAATTTATGCAAGTGAATTCGAATCTAATTGTGGCTTTTTCGTGTGAAAATGGTTTAGGCAAAAATTTGGAAAGCTGTCCAAGATTAACGGAATGTTTGTAACACAAGCCTCGCGTGTTTTGGTTTCTTGGCTCAAAGGTTATATAAATAGTAAAGGTGTAAAAAAAAAATATTTTCTTAATTTCCCGTGATTTTACTTTTTGCGACTACTTATTAAAAATTAAAAGCTTCAATATTTGGTTTGACAAACATAATTTCAATCCAATTGAAAATAAGTAGTCACAACGTCTTTTATTTGTAAAGAGAAAAAGAAATACATAAATAATTTACACACGTTAGACGTACGTGTCATTTTTCAAGCGAATTAAAAACCTCTTAACTCACCTCACAGTTTAATATTTTGTACTTTTTGATACTGAATTGACCGTAACGTTGTCCACAAAACATTTTGATTGTTAATTAATTAATCATCCAAATCTTTGCAAATCCAAAAATTTCTGCGAAAATTGAGATTTTTATCGTTATAATTTAATAAAAAAAATTTTCGCGGGAACTTGTGCTCACTCACCATTCTAAGTTAGACCAGGCGAAATTAAAAAAAAAAAAGTCTATCGCATTCTTTTTTTATTTAATTTCTTATATGAATTTGCAAAACTACGAAATGATAGACAATACGCTATCCACAAATGGTTTGTAAAGGGGTCAATGCGCTCAAAATGTCAAGTACCGTATTTATATATTTTTCTCCGAAACTTGTGGCTTCTTTAACCAGGATATGTATTTCTTAAACGTTTATGCTACATACATAATTTGATTAACAATTTTTTTTTTTTTTTTTTTAATAATTGATAAGCCTCTGATTTAAGTTAAGCCTTTTAATTTTCCGAGTAATAAAAGCAAAATAAAAAAAAAAATAAAAATTGATAATCTATTTTCAGTTACAATTTCCGATAATTTAAGCCGCTTTTATTGTAAGACCCTTTTTTGAACAAATTAATCCGAACACAAAAGCCATGTTTGTTTATTTTTATTTATTTTATTTGTTATCGTTAAAGAACCTTCATTCTTTCTGTTACTCAAATTTCCAAAGTCGTGGCAACACTTTTCGTGACAAATGGCTGCAAATAAATCCGAAAAAAAAAAAAAACTTTCCTTCGCTTTTGACTCTTTAATTGATCAAGCCCCTTTTGAACTTTCTCTTATTTCATCAGTTAAATTATGCTAAGCCAAATTATAATCTTTTTTTTTTATATTCGTACTCGAAAAAAATGTATTTTTTTTTATGATGATTCAACTTCTGTATTAGCTGATGCCTCGAAATCACCACAATTGTTAATGACGAAAGCTTTATTAAGGCACCAATCATAACTATTATACAAACAATTATAGTGGCAAAGAAGTTAAGGTCTAACTTTAGGAAATATTGAAAATAGAAATAACCGCACGTGTCATTATTACGATTATCATCTATCTTTATTTGGAAAAGAATAAAGATATGGGTAGGGTGTCCTTCATTATATCGAGGCTTATCATTATAACGAGGCTTTTCGTTGATGAATGGCTTATCATTTATTTATATTATATCAACTTTTTTATATTTTGTTTTAAAACTTTTATGAGATTTGACTCATTGTATAAACCGTTTTTATGTGGCTTTTATATAGTTAGTCAGTATACTTTTTGAAATAAAATAATTGAAAATAAATGAAAATTCGAAATTTAGAAATCCTAGTTCCCGAATATATATTTGTACTAACCCCGTAAAAGTCACTGATTTATAATTGGACATTTTGCTTTTGATAATAACCGTAATACGGTTTAACTTATTCTTTTTTTCTTCCTTTCAGGATTTCTACATATTTAACAAGTACCGAACAAACTCGAGGACGTCCCGGAGTGATACGATTTTTTCTTACCGTTTGATTAAAATCAAAAAGAAAAAAAACTCGTTTGCCCAATTTCCTCTTTTGAACTTAAAAAGTATAACTGGTGATTAAACTTGGTTGTATTTAATCTCGTAATCCTCAATCAAAAACTGTGTCAAACAAAAATTAACAAAGTATCATAATTTTGACTTTTAAGGGCATCATAACGAAAAACAAAATAATAAATATCCGAATATGGGATCATATCATGTTTATTTTAAAATGAAAATGTATTTACTAGATGATCATTGTTATCATTGTTTCAACAGTTTGTCATACAAACAATGGTGCTTGCTGCGGCTTAGATGCGTTTTCATTTTTTTTTTTTTTTTTTGATTACCGGGAAATTTACAAATCTCCTTTAAGACAATTCTTGTCATTGTAATAATTCTTTGAATAAATTTAGGAAAATTTTTATTTAATTTACTTGATTTAACGTGATGATTTTTTCCTCCTTAATCATTTCGATAAAAACAATTCTTTTTTTTTTTTTTTAAAAAAAAAATAAAAAGAATGCAACTTGTAACCGAGAACAATGAATTGTTTGATTTTGGCGTTTCACGAGAAATTCATTATTTCATTTGACATCTCTTATTTTTGATGACATTGATTGAGGCTTAAAAAATAAATAAGAATCTATATATTTTTTTTTATATATTAACAAACTCAAAACTCTAAACAATAAATAAATAAATAAACGATAACCAGTTTTTTTTTCCTTTGAACGATAAAATTCAATTAATCAACATCGCGTGCTTACGATTTAGCAATATGGTATCAAATCAGTTTGATCAAAGGAAAAATGTATTTCTCGAAACATAACACGAGATAACAAGTTAATGCATTATTAGTAAGTTCCTTTAAATCGTGGCATTTGTTGATTGTAAATTCTAAGCGATTTAACTCACGGGGCTCATTTCTTAACGAGAGGCTTTTCAGGCTTATCAAATAATTGGAAGTTTTTATAAAAATATTGGGGCTCATCAATTCACCATTCCTTACAAGAAAAAATTATACATTTATTCAAAATTCCCGTGATGGAGAAAAAAAAAGTTCTCTGTCTTGTTCGAACAACAATGATTTATTTAATAATATAATATATTCTTTGTATTCATGAATTATTTTTTGTTTTATTTTTTGAATTTTACTGCGTAATAATAACGTAATAAACAAATCTGTGTTGACTTTGCAAAAAAAAAAAAAAAATAAAATAAAAGAAAAGTTTTACAAATATTTGCTTTTTTCGTTACAAATTGCATTATCAAAAAGCCAGACACAAGACAATAAACCCTAGAAAACAAAAGATCGATCCGATTCACTGTTTTCTCTCCTAATTTATTATGATCATAATGATTTTCCTAACAAAAAAATAATAAAAAATAAGAGTACCTTTAGTGAACTTAGCATTTATTGACGTAATTTCATTGAACATAATTATCATGATTATTACTTATCATTTGGAATTTCTTCATTGACGATTATCTAAATAAACAATGTAAAAATGCAAAATTTTATTTATTTTTTTGGCATACTGACAGGTATGACATCATAGTTGACATTTCGTGATTCAAGTTATTTCAGGTCATAAAGTAATTAATACTGTTATCCATATATAGGTTGAATCAGAAATATTTCCGCAGTAAATGGTTGAAATTTCGATTTATAATTATTTCGTTAATTTTATAAATGTCCAAAAGAAAAATCATGCATAAACATATGTCGAGCTAGTAAAAAAAGATTTTTTTTTCTGATTATATCAAATGCGATTTTAAATTTTTAAAATAACGTGATGCAGTATATAAATACTTTAGGGTTTGCAAGAATCGCATAGCCACAATAAATCAATTATAACTGAGAACTTACCAAGTAATAAAAAAAAAAATCCAATCTCGAAACCGATATAATTTCATGAAAAACGTATTTTAAAGCTTTTTTTGATATCATATAAAATTTACCGCGGAATGAAGAGATTTCTGTCGTTACACAACGAATTGATTTTATTAATCTACCGAGCTATCTAAGGCTGGTTTTGCGCAAAATCATATTCTTCTTTTAAACAAGAATGGAGGCTTAAATGCAAACACCTAAAATAAATATTTTAAATCAGCTTATGTTCTCGTTTATTAGGCTTAAAAAAGGCTTGTAGATGAAACAAATAGTATAGTAATTTTCTTTGTTGAGATGTGGCTTTAAAAAGGCTCTTTTTTTTTTTAAATATAAAGGATGTTTTATTTTTGTTTTCCTTTTCTTTGTGGAAAGCTATGGTATCATCTGAAGTTAATGGTACCTTGCAATAATATTTTGAAAACTAAAACAAAATTCCCAAATGTTCCTAATTTTTAGTAATTATTTTTTGGTAAAAAAAAAAATAACAAATTGTTCCAAACATTAAATTTTAATTCCGTATGATAATAATTGAAAGCTTTCAAATTTCTGTTACAAAATAATAAACGCGTGATTTGAGAATCAGCGTTTTGCCACAAACGATTATTTACTCCGCGACAGTTTTATACTATATAAGGGCAATTCATAAATTTTGTGCGACATTCGATTTCAAATATGTACAAAAATATTTTTTTTTTCGTTCTATCCACGATTTAAAGAAAAAATAAGTCACATGCTTTTATAATTTTGGCAACAAATTTCACCGATCCACCAAATCACAAACTTTTCTCCTAGTATTTAGAACACAAAAATTAAATGTGGATTAATCAATTGACATGATAATAAGTAAATTTATTTATCAAAGAAGAAAATTTTAATTATGCCTTGACATTACAAATACCATATCTAATCAACATCCATTTTAGCCTCCTTAGCTCGAGAGTTTATCCTCTTTAATCGGTCGTTTTGATTTTTGTTTGACAAACAGTATAGCTTCATCACTTTGTTCCTCATCATCCCATGTATTTATTGACAACAAGACACCCTTCTCAATATTTCTGATTCTGGATCATAAACGCAAGGCAACATTTTCATGAGCTCTTACGATCAGTTTCTTTCTTGATAAACTTCAAAGGATCAACCCATGATGTCAAAAATTCAGTCAAGGAGCAGATCAGTTTGTGATCATTGTTTTTTGACATTTCCATATACTTTTGAGCTCAATCCAAATAACGCGACCGATAACTGAAATTGTTCTTGGAAAACCGAAATTTCTGAATGGTTGGGTCAGCCTAAAAGTTTTAAGGAGCTCGTTTCTAGGCGACCTTCTCCACCTTTTGCTTAAGGAATTCGACACTTTCTTTTTTGCGGATCTAGAATTACATAACCAATGAAAGATGTGCCAAGTTCATGTAGAGGGTAATGAGGAAGCTTTTCGATACCGACACAAGTTGGAGCAAAGCAAGCTTGTACCAAATACGATCTTCGCATAGTTTATCGTCTTTGGTTCCAATAAAAAGCGGTACAATGAGATCTACACCACAATGATTCTCTTGCACAACACCGTAACTCCTCGAATTATAAATTTCAATGGATGCCGTCATTTTGGTTTGTTATACTTACAAAATGTGAAACGCTGCTGAATGTCAAATTTAAAGTCTTGGTCTCGTCTAATTTTGGTGACAATTTGATCAGTCAGCAATGATCTATCGTTTGCGAAAATAAATTTCCACTGGTTTTCGCACCAGATTCGAAGCATTTAAGAAATAAAAACTTAATTCCCACTGCGCCTTCATTCAAAGCTGATATAATCGGATCGACTAATTCTTGTGGTATTGATAGCGTTGATAGCGCAAAAAAATAAAAAAAATAAAAGCTGCAAATAACACAACAGCATTGGTAAGATGATAGTGGCGTAAGCATTGGAATTGGCGTTGGTGGTAACATTGGACATGCTGAAGCCTATCGCTGAGCACCTGATGAGACTTTTAAATGAGAGAGGTTGATGATTCTAATAAATACTTGGGACAATACGTTAACCAATGTCCATCTTATCAACAACTTTTACGTGAGAGAACCTTTTGACCGAACAAAATTGGCATTGGCATTGACATTGACATTTGGCGTTGGTGGTAACATTGGCAATGAAGAGCTTATCGCTGAGCACTCGATGAGACTTTTAAAAAAAAAAAAATTGTTGATAAGATGGACATTGGATAACGTATTTTTCCAAGTATTTATTAGAACCTGAACAAAATAGTCATTGGCATTGGCATTGACACTGGCGTTGGTGGTAGTTTGACGTTATTCATGTTTCGAGCAGATGCCTCAGCGACAACAGGCTCTGAAGCAAAGCCGGTGACGATTTGGTCGCATCTTTCAGAAACGTAAATACAAAGCCGCAAATAGTTTGATACTAGTTCAGATGCGTAGTCAGATTGCGGAACGATGTCAACGCAAAGACTTTGTCCGAGAATTCCCAGCGCATTCGTGTTTGGTATTGTGCCATATAATTCGTTTGTCCAGGAAGCGTTGTGACGCATAAAGATAAAATTATTTTTGGTCTTAGACTTTATTAAATATATTTGCCCATAATTATCTTCCTTGTATTTTATCTATTTTTATAATATAAGCATACGACTTGATCCATTATATTCATTTGTAATAAAATACTCTATTTTCTGAATATTTCTTGAATGTTTTTGGCTGATAATGTTCAACGTAAACATCTATGGTGTCCAGAAGGTAGAAGTGTGGGAAAAATTTGCTGCCGGTTTCTGACACCCGTTTTGATGGTCTTGATATCAGAGAAACGGTATCAGTAAAGATGGCAAATGCTCCTCCCTTTTTTGCAAAGCAGATGCATATATAAAAACATCTTGGTGCGTCAAGATCATACATGATGATCAGTTTCCGAATCGTAATTTCTCTCATAAACAGAGGCCATATATGAATTATGTGTTGGTTGCATAGGTTAGGCTTTCGATCAGATCGTGTGCCTCATAAAGGCAAAGATTAGCTTAATGTAATTTGATTTAATTGACTATTTTTAGACAGTATCTTTTCAACACTTTTCCAGGATTTTTACACGATTTTCTCTACATCATGCATTTTTGTTCCAGCCAAATGATCCATATTACGAATCATTTCTGTTTTTACCTTATCCCAGAAACTATTTTGCATCACAGGATCAACTAGCAAACCATATCATTCATTTGGGGTAAGATCCGTTTCTGCAAGTACGTTTAAAGGCACATAAATAAGCAAGTTATCTTGAGATATAAATTTGCTTGTTGTCTGCTGACATACTATCATTTGATTTCTCGAGCAAGATATTGGCAATGGCTGAAATTGACGGATATCCACTCGAATCAATATCTTTAAACAACAATAACCACGTATAAATCATCGGCGATTTTCCTATTAATTTTGACTTCTCCGCTCCACTTGCTTGCAAAGATGCGTAATAAACTTTAATTACCCATTTACTAAGACAAGAGTCAATAAATTTTAGAAAATCGATTGGCAAATTTAAAAATCCTTGTAAGGATTATGAAATGCATTTCGGACGGCTTCCGACGGCTATAATCTCTGAAATTGTCATAGGAGTCATTGTCAGAAAAGGATTCGATATGAAGAGATATGAAAATAAAAGTTGCTAGTCAAAAGAAATAATCAAGTTAAGAAAATCATTGAATAATTAATTACTAGAATAAGGTAATCTTTAAAAAATCTCTCCTAACAAGTATAAGAGATTGCGAAAGGGAGAAAAATGAAAAGTCAAAGTTAATCAATGTCGCAAACATTATACAAAACGTTCTCCCGGATGTAACGAGTTGAAGTAAACTTGCTACTCTTTAAACTATGCCTAACGCCACGTTCCAACTATCCTCTCAATAAACGTGCGTGCTTGCTTACCCAGTTGTTCTTGGTATGCTTTATTGATATCGTCATAGGGCGCGCCAGGATGTTCTTCTTTGTAGTTAAAGACAAATTCCCTTGGTTCCATTTTTCGATGTTATGGCAAGAGTAATTTTTTTTTAAAAAAATTATGAATTATATAGTTAGACGCGTAAAAAAACGCGTGGATAATCATTCGACAAAAATATCACAAATCACAAAATTATGTTAAAAAGGTGAGTGATAATAGTCTTTTATTTTGCAATTATTGCATAAATTAACTGTAGATGCTCATTGTATGGGAAAAAAACATCTCAACAAACATCTTTACATGCAACTAATTCTAAAAGAGAAATGATAGAAGATTTTTTCAAGATTTTGCAGGTGTAGAAATTCCACTGTAAAAAAGTTAATGTTTTACTTCCTTTTTAAAAAATACCTTAAAAAAGATTCCTCAAGCATCAACATTAAACCTGTGTATATTATAATATACATACCTTAAATTTTTCACATTTATTTCTTTCTGATTTCGCAACATATATGACAAAATGATATTATAATATTTTAAAACTAGTTATTCCACAATTAATACATTTGCATATCTTATAATATTTATTATAATTGTAAGATATTAATCTCTTAATTATATTTAAAACAATGAAACTTAGTGGGATTTTCCATCATTTCATCTTTAAAAACTATTTGTCTAAAATTAAAGTTACTTTTGTCAAGAAATAAAATTCAGTAGACAACTGGTTTAAAATTGTTTTTTTATACTAAGAAATACGAACAAGATATTGTCTTGCCTGCAACAGTTCAAGCAATAAACTTAAGTTCGCAATCATAGAATAAAGCTTATCAAGCTAGTCTTTTTCAATCTGTGCGACGTCGATTTCTCATATATATCCAATAATCCAAACAAAATTTTTTTTTTCCTGACCTCATCTATTTTAAAACCAAGAATAGCCATGTCTAACGTTACAGAATATAATCTCTCTAATCTCCCGACAGCTGAGTAGCGAAAGTATGGAGTCGAGATAACGTTAAAGAATTTTTGCAAAGAAATAGAACTGTTTTAGAGCTTGAAGAAAATGATATCAATGTAATATTTAGCCAAAATGTCACTGGTAAAGCCTTCCTTCGTTTGAAAGAAGAACAACTCACTCGTGATCCTGGCCCGTTCAAACTGCTATTTGGACCGGCTTCAGCAATCGCAGGTATGGTTAAACAAATTAATGGAGGTAAGCGAGTAGAAAAAAAATAGTCTTTTTTTTTCGTCTTCTCTTTCCCGCCCAAAATACACATTCGCGTTATCGTAGAGCAACCCGTAGCTGGTAAGTGAGTCTAATAAAATTAATCAACGCAGTGAACGCGACCTTTCTTCACGGATATACTGATTTTTTTTTCGCTGTCATTTTCTTAGATGGTAATCAAGAACAAGGTAATTTTCTGTTTATGTTTTTTATTTGTTTCACAATATCTCATTTTCCAATCTTGCAGAATCTTTAAAAAGACATATTGAGAAAGTCGTCAAAGAAAAAGTAAGCGATCTTAGACGTGATGTGAAAAAAGTACGTTATTTTGCAGAAGCATGGCTCAGTTCACCTGGTATGTTGTTCATTCGATCCATAAACAATACTTTGCAAATGCATTCAATTATATACAGTCAGACCCCTATATAGTCACCAAGTTGGTTTCATCAAATTTGGTGATTATATAAAGGTGTGACTATATAATAAAACCTTTATATAATCACCTTTATATTATAAATCATGTGAAGTGACTATATAGAGGTTAATAGTTTAATTCGATAGTATAATAGATTTTATTAAGAATTATGAAAATTTTATACAATTATCCATTTTTATTTATTTCTTTAATTCTAATTGCTAAAAAAAATCAGTTATTGTAGTTTGCTTTCTAGCTTGCAATTCAAATTGTTGTACTTTATTTAGATATTTTTTAAAAATATCTAAATCTTCTGTTTTAAATTCATTTGTTGTTTGTTGTTCAAAAATAGTTATCCAATTCTGTAAAGATTTGATTGCATCAATGAAAGCTACTGGCAATAGTTTGAAATCCTCTTCAGAATTATTATTTTCATCATCATCTACCTTTTCTTGAACCAATTTTATGATCTCATCATCATTTAAAAGATCTTTGGTTGGAATTTTTTCTAAATCTTGAAAGAAATCATTAATTGCATTTTTTAATGGAAAAGCATGAGGGTTGTCAAATTCATCAATTATTTGATTGATTCTTGCTGTTTCTATATCCATTGTCTCTTGATGAGCCTGTATTGCATTATTTATATTTTTATCAGTTGAAGAAGGCAATATTCCAATTTTATTCCAACAATTACAGATTGTTTCTTGAGTTATATTATACCACTCATTTGCCAAATATTCAATAGCTTCTTTGATATTAATTTTCTCCTTATTAATATCTTTATCTTCTTCAAAGAATTGTAACATATAATGACAATAATATCGTTTATAGTGATTTTTAAAACTTGCAATAATTCTGGCATCGAGAGGTTGAAGGTGACTTGTGATATTTGGTGATAAAAAGATCACTTCAACATGTGTAAGCTGAAGTTGATGAGTATCTAATAGAGTAGAATTGTGTCTTCTTGATCTTGAAACTTGATTTCCTTTAAAAAAGTACAAATTCAGTAAGATTCTGTAGTTTACTTTTAAATTTAAAAAAAAAATTTAACTTACCGCATCCTTTTGAAGTAGAACCTAAAGTAGAATCTGAATCTGGAGTAAAACTTAAACCTGAAGTAGAACCAAGAACGAAGTATTATCTTCATCTTGTAAATGATAATTTGGGTTAAAGTGTGATGGAGCATTATCAATTAAGTGCAAAATCTTTTTATTTTGTGCTCTAAAATGCCTATCTATATCAAGAAATATTTCTTCAAATAACCTTAAATTCATCCATGCCTTAGGATTTTCATAGTAGTGAACTGGAAGATGGTCTAAATTAACATGTAGGAGAGGTCTCAGATACTTTAATATACCAATCACCCATAGCTTAAGTTTGTCAGTTCCTGTAGCATTTGCACTTAAAAGGACAGTAATTTACATTTTGTTCTTTTTTTGACCAAAAACTGATTTAGTGAAAAATGTTTAATTCAGAGACATTCTATAATAAAGACCCATTTTATCAATATTATATATTTGATCTAGAGAATATTGGATTAATAATTGATGAGTTTAATTCTCTCTTCTGAAAGGGATGCTATCAGTGCGCTGTTAGTGATAATCCGTTTGCACAACTAAATGACTGCGCCAACTAGCGTCACCAATGATCACCAGGAAAATCGTGATCACCATTTTCACCGATTTCACT